CACAAGACTGTCAGTCTTCTAGAATTTTGTTTTGATTTGTGTATTAAGCTGATGTATTTAATCTTACTTCCAGGTCCATAATTTCGTGTGGAGTATATTTTTAGAGTTATTTAGGTTTTATATTAGCAGATTTAGGTATATAATTATTGTATATTATTGTATGTATAAATTCTTGAGTAAACATTAACCAGTAAACAAAGCTGGTTCCCAAACAAAAACAAACCAGAAGCAAGTCATAGCTTATATTTGGTTGATTGTAATGTTGTGATATTGCATAATTTATTGTAAATGTAATATATGTTTCAGAATTATGTAATGTAACGCGATGGAAGTATTTTAAGCGGGCATATCCTATCCAAACCCAGGATACATGACATAAAAGATTCGTTTTCACTTGTTTGCATGAAAAGCATTAACTAGTATGAAAAAGCTTCGGGACTAGAAGCCGGGGACACGGTGATGATAGCGGGCTGGTTAGACAGCAACAGGATGTTTGCAGGATTTGTGAAACGTGGAACAAAACGAGTTTTGGTGAAAGAATTTGACAGTGAATCGAGTGATAGTAGCGATTTCGAGGAAAAACCTTTCACAAAAGCAAGAAAGTTTAAGTCTGCAGATGATCACCAGGTTCGTGAGTTATTTCCAATGTAAAATATAATATTAGTTTAACATTGAATCTTAGTTAAGCTGCTTAGCGGTTCTTCGTTCTAGGCGTAGGAATAATGACATGAAATGACAAAGAATTACAAACTGTATCACTGTATTTCACGTTAATTTAGTATACATCTATCTTATCATTCACCATTTCATCTATCACCCTATCACAGACATTATTCCATTTTCAGAAATGCCACTGTCCTAATGGCCGGAAAGGCAGTTCAAAGCGTGCTCACTTTCACTGCAAAACATGCACAAAGATATTTGACCGACCTGAAAGAATGAAAAAGCATGAAGACAAGCACAACAGCGCTCCTATCAAAAGAAGGTCAGACAAGGACCCAACACGGAATACATACGACGAACTTCCTTTTGCTAAGGTTGACAATCATCTACCCTAACTTGAACAAGTTCAATGTAATACTAAGTGTGTATTAAAGGAATATTTTTTCTTTTAATTACCTTTCTTTCATATCTATCATACATCTTTTATCTTTTATCTTTTATATCTAATATCTATGTATGTCTATCATATCCATCATATATCTTTAGTTTATCTATCTTTTATCTTCTTTATTTATCTTTTATCTTCTTGATCTAGATCTTTTATATCTATCATATATTTTTCGTTTATCTATCTTTTATCTTTTTTATCTATCTTTTTTATCTATCTTTCATATTATCATATATCTTTCGTTTATCTATCTTTTATCTTTTCACTATATCTTTTAGGTCAAGAATCAGGTCACCTGTATAGCTAGTATAATGTTGTAAGCCAGCTTCAGCTGGCTTACAACATTATACTAGCTATACGACATACAATATACGTAATGTGGTTCAAAAGGAGTTTCTCTGATGGCGAATTTTCTTCTGCTGACTTTCTTATAAAAAGAGTCTTGAAACCTCAGCTAAACCAAGACCGTCAGAATACGGAGGAATTTCGGAATCCAGAAAGAAGGGGATAATCGACACATTGTATCCATTAATGCCCACCATAAAGAGAGTATTTTGGGACAATTTGTAAACTTGAACTTGTGAACTTGAACTGATAAAATTTAACTTTTTCTACTGTTCATTCTATTATATTTCAGAGTTTCATTGTCTGATATTTTCATAATTATGGACTGAAAAACCATTATTTTCAACACGAATTAAGCATGCATAATGACACAAAATAGTGTATTATGTAGGGAAGCATCTACATAGTTGAATACCAAAACACTGCAAAAAGGAAGTAAGTAGTCGAAAATCTGCAAAAAGGAAGTATCTCGCTTTAGCAGTCAAATTTTTTCTGGCAGTGAAAACGGAACCCGTTTTCATGAAAAATTGGTTCAAATAATCGGAATAAAATTGTTCAGAAAAGTTACCCTAGACGATTCTAAATGTATTCAAACAAAAATTAAAAGCATGATGCAGTCAGCTGAATGTCAGAAACGGGTCTAGTTTACATGCTTTTATCTCAAAACGATGGTTTTTCAGATACTTCTTTCTTGCAAAAAGGGGCAGCATAGAACAGACATTGATTCAAAGTCGCTAGCAATCCCTAAATCGAGTTGTTCTGAATATAAACAAAGGTTGTTTGTCGCAGATGGCAGTTCCAACCAAACTACTGCAGCTTAAGTCTTGAAGTTGGAGCAGAGAAGGCATTAATCTGCTTGGCTGGTATTGTCCAAGCTGAATCAGCTTGCAATCGAGAGTGGGGATTCAGGTAACACCTACAACCCATAACACAGGATCGCTCAGAGCATTTTAACTGAGCCAGAACAGTTTGATTCCTTGAGGCTTAAGGAACATTTGTCATCGATGTAGAAGGGTTTCGGAGGTTGGGAAAGAAGGAACGGGTATTTAGGTTACTGGAGCAGAAAGACACTGTAACGAGTAACAGCGACCGATAAATACTCCCCTCGACCATCGTGGTCAGATTCTACAGGAGCTGGAGAAGTAGAAACTAGAGATACTATCTCAATAGAAGGAGAGGAAAATGGGGATAAAGACGGAGGAATATACTATAGACTACTTGAGAAATAGAAAGAAACTGTACGAAATATAAACTTGTAAACGTGAATAATGTTTTAGTAAATGTGTTTATCATTGACTCTGACATCAGGTATGGTCGTGGTTTAATTGATGCACCAACTTGGTGCACGCCTGAATATAATGGATCCAGCTGTCAATAACTATGACCAACGCGAACGATGCTAACGGAGTTGCAGCCATAAGATTATCATTTATCTATCTTTTATCTATCTATTATATATCTTCTATCTATATTTTATCTATCTTTTATTTCTATCTTTTATTTATCTTTTAGATCTAATATCTTTTATCTAATATCTTTTATCTAATATCTTTTATCTAATATCTTTTATCTAATATCTTTTATCTAATATCTTTTATCTAATATCTTTTATCTAATATCTTTTATCTAATATCTTTTATCTAATATCTTTTATCTTTCTTTTTTATCTATCTTTTATCTATTTTAGGTCAAGAGTCAGGTCACCTGTAAAGTCACGGGATTAACAGCATAAGCTACAGTGAGTTGGAGCAAGGGAAACCAAACAACAAACGGATCAGCTGAAGCGGATCAGAGCGGTAATACTATAAAGCTATAAATGCTGTACAAACAATTTTAAATCTTACTGCTTATAGATTTTTCGATATCAAATCTTTAACGACCTGCTCTTCAGGAGTTATTCGCTTAGAGAGTTATTCGTCATCATCTACTAAGGAAGCAGCTTTTGCAGTTGATGGTGCACTTAATGTTGACATCAGTTTCGTGGTGATTCTTCTTGGAGCTGCCGGAAAATATGTGAACTTCTACGGCTTCTGTGGAGCTATCTGGAACTATATTACCCATATTTGTGTGCGACAATTATTCTGACAGAAATTTTCTCAAAGAGAAAACACGGAGTTCACGGGGTTCTGGAAGTGATATTAATTTTTCATTACAATCACCGTTCCCCAAGGACTTCGTGAAAGATTTTATGAAAAACATTAAAAACAAAGATAAGTTTTATGACTTATTAATTTCCTTTCTCTACGAGAAATAATAATTATTAAACAGAAAGTATGTTTTCACGAACCGCCGAAAGGTTACTTCAAATCATATCTCAGAAATGGAAGATTGTAGTAACCTTGAGGCGGATTCCCGAATCGTACTTCATACTGTTAGTGCGATTCGGAAAGAACTGAAGAGAGTTGTTGTTAGGAGTAATGACACGGACGTTTTAATCATATTGATTCAGTATTATAATCACTTCTGTGAAGTGGCCAAAACCGACAATTTTAACATCATATTGATGTCTGGGAAATCCACATCTGCTACTGGAATCCTCTTCATCAACATTAACTTGGCATCCAAGTCGTTTACTTCACATCAGCTACGAGGATTACCCCTGCTATTTACAATGGCAGGGTGTGACTATGTGGAGTCATTTTATGACGTTGGACAGCTGTCATAGCTCAACATCTATTTAAAAGATGATATCATTCTGAATGTGTTTGTCTCAGAATGAAAAATGGCTACTACTCTAAAGAACATGGAGCATTTGCTGACATGTAAGGTCAGTATTGTGCGAAGCATATTTTATACCAGATTTTGTTGATCGATGCTGGTTGTTCTTAAAATAAAATATTACTGTCCTATTAGAAGAACCACAGGGGGTTTTAATTAATGCAATAACAATTTAAAATGCATAACTTTCCTTCTCACCAAACGTGAAACGAAGGCAAATCTCATGATGTGAAATATTTTCAGGATTGTACTGATTCGGTGAACAGATGTCAGGGTAGGATTGAGTTGACAAAGCTCAAGATGAAAAGGTAATTCAATATCAGATAATTATTATCTGATATTGAGATAATAGTGATTTGTTACATTTACCTAGAAGTTAATTGTTTTGGAAATATACTGTGTAATAATGGTTAGTAAGTTCTAAAAACAGTGAATTAAAGTAGACGCCATCCTTTGAATAAATGTCAAGAACCCACTTCACCAGATAACGCTCCAGACCCTCTACCCCGCTGCTAAGGATATCTGCAACCGCAAGCTTGATGCCCTGAGACCTCTCCACTCCCAAGGAGAAGTATTTAGATTTCTCAAGATGTTTTAAAGATTTCTCAAGTTGTTTTAAAGTTTTCAAATAATCCAAAGATTTCTCTCAAAAAGCTTTTTGTAGACAAAAGTGTTAGAAATAAAAAAGCAGTCTGTCGTGAGATTTATTATTACTAATATGTACTATTTACAGGATGTTTCATATTTAATGTAACTCTGTTAACAACTGTATCATTTGGTAACTCTCGACACACAACACTTTAAACATCCTCAACTAAACAAAAGTATGGATAAAGTATTGAGACCGGACAGACTTGAACTGGACCTAGCTACATCAACTCAAGGAGGAAACGCAAACAAATTCACACATTGGAGCACTACGATGGACAACTTCATCGAGACACTGAAAGACACCGTAACTAGTGACGAAGCTAAATACAAGGTTCAAATAAACTTTATTAGCCCCGATATCTTCCTGCACATATCGGGGCTAACTAAATACACTGAAGCCAGCGCCGTCTTACAGGCTCTATTCGTAAAAACGAAAAACCCAAATTATGCTCGTCACTGCCTGGCCATGAGAACCCAGAAGGAAGGAGAATCCATCGAATTATACTTGTTGGCACTAGAAAAACTAGCTAAAGAGTGTGACTTCAAGGATGTAACTGCTGCAGCGCACCAAGAGGAATGTATCATAACGGCATTCATATCAGGATTGAGCTCACATCAGATCCGCCAACGGCTACTTGAGGATACTAAACCCTTATCTGACACAACTAAGGCAGCTACCACACTTGAGCAAGCCCTCAGGGAGAGTAAGCACTACTGTTATTATATATTGATATATGATTTTATATTGTTAACTAATCATACTAATAGCCTTTAGGTTTTAGGAAGTGATCGTTTCAATTGTTCATCATTGATAAGAACCCCGGTACACAACAATGGCGACTGTGATGAGATATCAGTTTAATGAACCACTCTCCACGACAAATGTCACAGATGTAAGAAGTTGGTTTGAACAATTTGAGGTTTTTCTAGAGGTCGGGGAACTGGTGGAAGACCCGACAATCCCAGAAATCCCGGAGGACGACAACAGAGCTCAGGACGAAACTGACAGACTTACTTGAGAAAGGGAAGTCCGGATAGAGGAATTGAAAGAGCTTCAAAGAACCAAGCTACTCATCGTCAACATGGACTCAAGTATGTTTAAAAAAGCCACAAACTTGTGTAAACCAACGAAGCTAGTGGAAGAGAGATACAGTAAGTTGAAGCAGAGACTATGCGAACATTTCGCACCCAAGCCAACCAAATTCGCTTCAAGATATCACTTCACACAGATCAGACAAAAGGAGAATGAAAAGAGCACTAGCTATATGGAGAGACTGCTAGTATGTGCAACTGATTGCGAGTTTCAGGATCTAGATTCCAGATTGTTAGACCAGTTTGTAGCAGGACTAAGAGATGAGAGAGAGAGAAAGCCAAACTGCTAAAGAAGACCAATCTGACCCTAGAAATCGCAAGAGAGCACATGTTGTCACTGGAGAAGACCAAATTGGAGGCTCAAGAAATGAACGCATCAAGCAGTGGAACAGTGAACAGTGTTAAGTCTAGGAAGAAAGAGAGATCCCACAGGACTGACAAGAAAACAGTCGTCACATGTAAGAAATGTACACTGAAGGGACATTCAGAGAAACAGTGTTTCACGAAATGTCATGCCTTAAGAAAGTGGGACACATCAGAAAGAACTGTCAACACGTAAAGAGAAAGAATCAGAGAAAGAAAGACGTCAAAACTTATCATGTGGAGTCTTGTTCAGATAGTGAAAGTTCAGAAGAGAGTAATTCAGAGCTTGAGAGCGAGAGTGAGGAGTCAAGTGAGGAAATTTTATTTGTGGAGGAGGTGTTAGATTATTCACTAGTAGATAACTCAGAGAGTGAGTTAGGTGAATTTGACACAAGTTTAGTGTGTCAGTCCTCTGTTTATCATGATGTTGATTTTGAAAATGAAATTTCTGACCTAGATTGTACCATGCTCAAGTTTTCTGAGAGCAATGTTGAAATTCATAATGATTTTTATGATGACAATGAACTGACAGTTAACTACACGAATATTTCTAAACCACTCGTTCAGGTTAAATTGAATGGAGTTAATCTACAGATGGAGTTCGACAGTGGATCCACGGTAAGTATAGTTAGTTGTGATGATTTTTCTAAGTTAGGGTTAGGCAAGAAAACAACAATTTTTCAAGAAAGGCATAAGACCCTGCGTGTTGCTAACAACGAGAGACTGTCTGTCAAAGGTAAAAGTCTGGTAGACGTTGAGTTCAACGGAAGACTGATACAGGGATTAGAGCTGTATCTGATAGATGACAAGTGCCCGTCGCTCATGGGGCAGTCATGGATAACAGAGTTTTTAGGACCAGACTGGCTGACAAAGATTCTTAACCTTCAGAAGGACAAAGAGACTGTTGATGCAAATGTGTGTAGTAGTGTGGATGAAGAACTTGTCACTGCAGTATCAGACAGAGACATGGAAGTATTTAAACTCAGAACGATTAGTAAACTCAAGGAAAGTCTAATCTTTCAGCAAGGTTTAGGACTTATCTCAGGAGCTGAAGCAAAGCTGATTCTCAAGGAAGGAGCACAGCCTAAATCACTTGGAGTGAGACCGTTACCCTATGCTAAGAAGAAGCAAGTCGGGGACGAGTTACAGAGAATGATCAACGAAGGGATTTTGAGCAAAGTTGAGGGAGCAAGTCCTTGGGGAACACCCGTAGTTCCAGTGTTTAAAGGAGAGAAGACAAGGATTTGTGGATCATACAATCTCACGTTGAATCCAGGGATGGCAGCTCAGCAATACCCGTTACCTTCAATAGAAGAGTGCTTTAACAAGGTAACAGGGGGTAAGAAGTTTACTAAGCTGGATGCTCGACAAGCTTACAACAACATTCCGATCAGAAAGGAAGACAGGATTTTAACGACAATCAACACCCATCTAGGACAGTTGATGTGGAACCGGTTACCGTATGGTATCGCACCCGCTGCTGCGATTTTTCAGGAGACCATTGACCAAACTCTAGCCGGGATTCAAATGTGTTGTTGTAGAGTCGACGATATTCTCATATCAGGAAAAGACGATGAAGAGCACATGACCATTTTGAACGAGGTCATAACGAGATTAGAAAATCAAAGTTACAGATGTAAACCGGAGAAATCCCAGTTCATGGAACACGAAGTGACGTACCTAGGTCACACTTTGAACAAAGACGGAATAAAGCCTGTAAAATCCAAAGTGGAAGATTTACTGAAGATGAAAGTACCAAAGTCGGTGGACGAACTTGTATCATTTCTTGGAGGAGTGAACTACTACAGAAGGTAAATTGCAAACATGTCTCAGATTATTGCACCCTTAGACGAACTCAGGAAGAAAGGAGTCAAATGGAAATGGGGCAAAGAACAACAGAAATCTTGGGAGAAACTGAGAAACATGTTAAGTTCGGAGACAGTTCTGACTTTGTACAATCCTAATCTACCGCTAAAGCTAGATACAGACGCATCATCACATGGATTAGGCGCTATTTTGTCGCATGTAATGCCTGACGGAACTGAAAGACCTGTTGAGTACATCTCACGCACCTTGACATCTGCAGAAAAGAACTACTCACAGATCGACAAGGAAGCTACAGCAATTGTCTGGGGAGTCAAGCGTTTTCACCTCTACCTGTACGGGAGGAAGTTTAAGGTAGTCACTGATAACCAACCGCTAGTCCACATATTCAATAAGAACAAACAGTTATCGGTCATGACAGCAGCAAGACTAACCAGATGGTCGATATTCCTTATGGATTACGATTACGAAATAGCATATCGTTCGACCAAAGCCCATGGTAATGCAGACATGCTATCAAGATTACCAGTTCCACACACTAAACAGGACGAAGAAGAAGCTAAGGAAGAGCTAGTCTTCAGTGTGGACATTGAAGATACCTGTTTAACTGCTAAGAAGATCGAGAGTTACACCAAGAAAGACCCGATTTTGTCAAAAGTGTTACACTACATCATGAATGGATGGCCGGACAAAGGCATACAATTCAGTGAAGAGATGACAGCTTACTGGAACAGAAGAAGTGAATTATCTATGGAGCTAGGATGTATAACGTGGGGTTGCAGAGTCATTATTCCCAGCAAACTACGATCGACAGTGTTGGAGATGCTACATGTCACACACCTTGGGATGAGTGGAATGAAGACTCTGACTCGTTCTTACGTGTACTGGCCACGGATTAACTCAGAGATTGAACAGTTAGCCAGCACATGTAAAAGTTGTGGTAAACATGGGGAGAGTTTACCAAGTCTCACTGAACATCCGTGGACCAAACCCACTATGCCTTGGCAGCGCGTACACATTGACTACGCAGGCCCATTCTTCAACAAAATGTGGTTAGTTGTCTATGATGCTTACACAAGATGGCCAGAAGTGATAAAGATGAACAAAGACACCACTTCAGCAGCTACTATCAGAGCACTACGAGAGATATTTAGTAGAAACGGACTGCCATTCGTCATAGTAAGCGACAATGGAACCAACGATGTTTAAAAGATCGCTCAGATCCAGACTTCATCAGATTACCCCACTGGATCAGCAGAAAGTTGACAGCATGGATATCGAGAAGGAGCAAGCAGTTCTTGATTCTAGCAGAATTCGAAACAGACAGTTTGAAGAACAACAAGACGTGTATGTTCAACCTACAGCTAAAGACACATGGAAAGAAGGTGTTATTGAAAAAAGACTTGTCGATTACAACATGTATGAAGTACAGTTTGGTGGGAGAAAAGTTGTAAAACACGCAGATCAGATCAAGAAGAGACTGAGACCAATGTTACAGCGAAAGAAACCAACTTTGTATAGTCCCCCAGGTAATCTAGAAACTAGCAATAGTCATGTCCAGTTGAATGTTTCACCATTGCACAATTCACCAGTACGTGGTCCGTTAGAGTTAGAGAATGTTTCACCAGCACGTGTTCCATCAGTGAGTGTTTCACAATCACAACCACCTACACCTATTCAAGCCACTGTAACACGACCCACTACTTCTAACGTGACTACACAGTGTACACGATTGACAACTACTAAAACTAACAACACACCCAACACAGGATCTGCACCAGTACCACTTCGCAGATCTGACAGACTGGCTAACAAACCAAGACGTCGTTGGAATTAATTAATTTATTACAGAATGTTTTTACTCATTTTATACGACAGCTTATTTTGTTTTATGTGTAAAGGCACTACGTGCAGTGTATTGTAATATTGAACGAAGATGTTTATTTTGATACCCGATAGATGAAGGACATTTTAACATTTGATTTCTAACATGAAACGGCAGTTTAAATCGGAAAGCAACTTGTCACGAGACTTTTATTTTAACTGGCATACGGCAGATTTTAACATTCGTCGAAAGAGAGAGAATGTGAAGTTGGATTTTATGTACTTTATGTAAAACGCGGACGTCGTTATATTATAGAGAATTTCTTGTTTTCAGTCACGCGCATTAAACGCGCGCAATTTATTTTAATTCTGTAAAACGTGGTCCGAGCTGAGACGAATCTTAATGTTTTCGATACACAAACGATTAGAACATTGAACAAGGAGGAATGTTATATATTGATATATGATTTTATATTGTTAACTAATCATACTAATAGCCTTTAGGTTTTAGGAAGTGATCGTTTCAATTGTTCATCACTGATAAGAACCCCGGTACACTACAACTACAATCACCGGGCTTCTGACGAAGGTCACTTAGCGGCAACCGATTCATGCTCTGTTGGTCAAGAGTCTATCTCTCATGTTGCAGCTGTGCAGGGCCGTGCCCAATTCCAATCACAAAATTTAATGACAAAGGACTGTTTTGTCGCTGCAAAAGTAGTAACATGGTTCATGAATCCATTGCTTGCCAGGTATGTGACGACAACTTCAGGCATGGTCGTGGTTTAATTGATGCACGCCTGCAAGAGAGAATGGATCCAGCTGTCAATAACTATGAGCAACGATGCTAACGGAGTTGCAGCCATAAGATTATCATTTATCTATCTTTTATCTATCTATTATATATCTTTTATCTATCATTAATCTATCTTCTATCTATATTTTATCTATCTTTTATTTCTATCTTTTATTTATCTTTTATTTATCTTTTAAATCTAACATCTTTTATCTAATATCTTTTATCTAATATCTTTTATCTAATATCTTTTATCTTTCTTTTTTATCTATCTTTTATCTATTTTAGGTCAAGAGTCAGGTCATGTGTAAAGTCACGGGATTAACAGCATAAGCTACAGTGAGTTGGAGCAAGGGAAACCAAACAACAAACAGATCAGCTGAATTGGAACAGAGCTATAAATGCTGTACAAACAATTTTAAATCTTACTGCTTATAGATTTTTCGATGTCGAATCTTTAACGACCTGCTCTTCAGGAGTTATTCGCTTAGAGAGTTATTCGTCATCATCTACTAAGGAAGCAGCTTTTGCAGTTGATAGTGCACTTAATGTTGACATCAGTTTCGTGGTGATTCTTCTTGGAGCTGCCGGAAAATATGTGAACTTCTACGGCTTCTGTGGAGCTATCTGGAACTATATTACCCATATTTATATTGGGCACAATAATTGTTTTATCGATATTGTGTGCGACAATTATTCTGACAGAAATTTTCTCAAAGAGAAAACACGGAGTTCACGGGGTTCTGGAAGTGATATTAATTTTTCATTACAATCACCGTTCCCCAAGGACTTCGTGAAAGATTTTATGAAAAACATTAAAAACAAAGAGAAGTTTTATGACTTATTAATTTCCTTTCTCTACGTATGAGAAATAATAACATGGCTGGGTGGCCTAGTGGTTAGAGCTTCCACCTTCTGTAAAGAAGGTTCAGGGTTCTAATCCCAGTGTCACTCAGTCTAGGGAGTAGCTAAGGATTCATTGGATCTATGCGATCTCCTCGGTCGACTCAGCCGAATGATAGGAAACTTGATTGAGGGTTAAATGAGGAGGGGTGCCTGTGCCAAAAGATCAAGAATCTTAGGATACTCCTTCAGAACATCTACAATGTAGTGTACTGTAAAACAAGGGCGGTCGAACTATTCGATGACCCTGTAGAGGAATCTACAAACTTTACAAATATACAAATAAATATATATTAAACAGAAAGTATGTTTTCACGAACCGCCGAAAGGTTACTTCAAATCATATCTCAGAAATGGAAGATTGTAGTCACCTTGAGGCGGATTCCCGAATCGTACTTCATATTGTTAGTGCGATTCGGGAAGGACTGAAGAGAGTTGTTGTTAGGAGTAATGACACAGACGTTTTAATCATATTGATTCAGTATTATAATCACTTCTGTGAAGTGGCCAAAACCGACAATTTTAACATCATATTGATGTCTGCTACTGCAAACAAAACATACTCCATCCCAAGAAGGTTCATAAACACACAGCACTGCCGTATGGAACGTCCTCCAGTCTGGTCACCTGGAAAAACAGGAAAACCAGGAACCCCTGGAGTGAGAAGAGGGAGAACACTGATACACGTAACAATTGAACGACTAGAGTCAATTAAATTCAGGCTGACGGCGAAACTAAATCCATTCATTTTGTGTCCCCCGGGAGCCCGAATAGGAACTGTGGTCGAGGAAGTCACATCTACTGAATTGGAAGCACAGAGAGTACAACTCACGCATAGGAAACAAGAAGAAGAGAGGATAAGAGCGGCTCTCGCCCTGGAACAACAGAGGCAAGAATTGGAACTAAGAAAACAACAAAAACTCGATCAGGAGAAACAAAAACTTGCGCTGAAGACTGCACAGCTAGAGAAAGAGAGTAACACTCATATGATCACAAACACAGATGGCTAATTGTAGAGATGTTCTTTAAATATTCCTAATTGTTTTTGTTTGAACTATAACTTACCAAAATTTAACTAGTTTTACTCAAAGTTAAAAATGGATGAAAATTCCAAAATAAAATAAAAATAAAAACAAAATCAGTCAGTCATCCTCGGCTCCTAAATACTAAAAGCACGACACAACCTCGAGGATCACCAGTGCAGGCCCGCTAGCATAATGCGGTGGTAGTTCCTCGAAGTAACGCACTACCTTTTCCGGGAGGGTTTTTCGACACCTGACTCCTAACGGGTTCGATGGAGTCTCTCGATGACGGATCATTATGGCAGATAACCTTAGGGTCATCGCCGATCCAGAGGGTCATAAGTTCTATGTTATGTCTTTTGGACGTACCGGGCTCTGCGAACCCCATGCCAAGCAGAGCAAACGGTACAAAGCCTGCAGTCCAAAGGAGCTCCATCAGACGTTAGCCACAAGGCGGACGTAGCCTCCTTGCTAATCCGGGGAGGTAGAGTGAGCGCCCTCGACCTAAAAAAAATTTTAAAAAAAAATGTCTGCTACTGGCATCTGCTACTGGCATCCTCTTTATCAACATTAACTTGGCATCCATCACATCAGCTACGAGGATTACCCCTGCTATTTTCAATGGCAGGGTGTGACTATGTGGAGTCATTTTATGACGTTGGACAGCTGTCATAGCTCAACATCTATTTAAAAGATGATATCATTCTGAATAGGTTTGTCTCAGAATAAAAAATGGCTATTACCCTAAAGAACATGGAGCATTTGCTGGCATGTAAGGTCAGTATTGTGCAAAGCATATTTTATACCAGATTTTGTTGATCGATGCTGGTTGTTCTTAAAATAAAATATTACTGTCCTATTAGAAGAACCACAGGGGGTTTTAATTAATGCAATAACAATTTATAATACATAACTTTCCTTCTCACCAAACGTGAAACGAAGGCAAATCTCATGTGAAATATTTTCAGGATTGTACTGATTCGGTGAACAGATGTCAGGGTAGGATTGAGCTGACAAAGCTCAAGATGAAAAGGTAATTCAATTTTTCAATATCAGATAATAGTGATTTGTTACATTTACCTAGAAGTTAATTGTTTTGGAAATATACTGTGTAATAATGGTTAGTAAGTTCTAAAAACAGTGAATTAAAGTAGACGCCATCCTTTGAAAAAATGTCAAGAACCCACTTCACCAGAAAACGCTGCATATCCGAGGCTGCTATGGTGGATGAGCCCTTCTACGGAAGATCACACTTCACACCCTCCACCCTGCTGCTAAGGATATCTGCAACCGCAAGCTTGATGCCCTGAGAACTCTCCACTCCCAAGGAGAAGTATTTAGATTTCTCAAGATGTTTTAAAGACTTCAAAGATTTTTCAAATTGTTTTAAAGTTTTCAAAGAATCCAAAGATTTCTCTCAAAAAGCTTTTTGTAGACAAAAGTGTTAGAAATAAAAAAGCAGTCTGTCGTGAGATTTATTATTACTAATATGTACTATTTACAGGATGTTTAATATTTAATTTAACTCTGTTAACAACTGTATCATTTGGTAACTCTCGACACACAACACTTTAAACATCCTCAACTAAACAAAAGTATGGATAAAGTATTGAGACCGGATAGACTTGAACTGGACCTAGCTACATCAACTCAAGGAGGAAACGCAAACAAATTCATACATTGGAGCACTACGATGGACAACTTCATCGAGACACTGAAAGACACCGTAACTAGTGACGAAGCTAAATACAAGGTTTTAATAAACTTTATTAGCCCCGATATCTTCCTGCACATATCGGGGCTAACTAAATACACTGAAGCCAGCGCCCTCTTACAGGCTCTATTCGTAAAGACGAAAAACCCAAATTATGCTCGTCACTGCCTGGCCATGAGAACCCAGAAGGAAAGAGAATCCATCGAATTATACTTGTTGGCACTAGAAAAACTAGCTAAAGAGTGTGACTTCAAGGATGTAACTGCTGCAGCGCACCAAGAGGAATGTATCAGAACGGCATTCATATCAGGATTGAGCTCACATCAGATCCGTCAACGGCTACTTGAGGATACTAAACCCTTATCTGACACAACTAAGGCAGCTACCACACTTGAGCAAGCCCTCAGGGAGAGTAAGCACTACAATCACCGGGCTTCTGACGAAGGTCACTTAGCGGCAACCGATTCATGCTCTGTTGGTCAAGAGTCTATCTCTCATGTTGCAGCTGTGCAGGGCCGTGCCCAATTCCAATCACAAAATTTAATGACAAAGGACTGTTTTGTCGCTGCAAAAGTAGTAACATGGTTCATGAATCCATTGCTTGCCAGGTATGTGACGACAACTTCAGGCATGGTCGTGGTTTAATTGATACACCAACTTAGTGGACGCCTGCAAGAGAGAATGGATCCAGCTGTCAATAACTATGAGCAACGATGCTAACGGAGTTGCAGCCATAAGATTATCATTTATCTATCTTTTATCTATCTATTATATATCTTTTATCTATCTATATCTTATTTCTATCTTTTATTTATCTTTTATAATATATGAAATTAATTGAATAATTGTATAACGAGGTTCGTGCATATCGAATGTCCAAAACAGACAAAAATTTGGCGGAAGATATTGATTTGGCGGAAGAAACAACTCCACCAAATCACGGGCAGTTCTCTATTGCCAACATCGTGTACAAGTCGACAACACCTAAAGCCTCCCCAACTTCTCCGAAGATTCCAGCTCCCTCTGCTGCTCCTACCACCAGCCTTGACCGTGAACTTCAAAAAGTTGTAACCGGTTACCTCTGTAATACAGTCCCGGAGAACACCTTGAAAAAGAACCAAACTGCTCTGGCAGGGGTCAACTCTTTTAGAGACTTCGCTTTAAAAGATCCAACTGTCCAGACCTCTTGGGAACGTATGCTGCTGTCTAGAATACCAAACGCTCTCGTCCGTTACGTCGCCACAAAGGGAAAAGCATATGAACAGCAGACATTCTATGGATTACTCGGAGGTAAGACGATTTATTGTTACCATTAGTCTAAGTTACATTTTTTAAGGCAATTATTCCCTAGCAAATAAGATAATTATAAAAAATATATTTTGTGGTTTTTATATTGCTTCAGCACATCATTTATACAACCCTTAACTCTTCAGGTCTTAATAGAGTCCTGAAGGCACGGTGCGATGATCAAGAACTACAGGAGGTCTACAACATCTTCCAACACAGGCGTTTCAGACCATTTCAACTTGTATATGACGGCTATCTAAAAGAGAAGCAGTTTACTATGAAAGCGCTCTCGACCAACCAAGCAGACCATCTAACTAAAGAGGAAACTGAAAAGCTAGTCACTGTACTGGGGAACTCCAATGCCGAACAACTGTTGGCTACCCTGATCTTCTTCACAACCTACACGTTTGCAATACGGTAATTTTAATCTTAGCCTTAATTAATTCTAAATGTGCCACAATTCAAATCTGACAATAACACAAATTCTATATTCGTGGCAATATTTATGTGCATTCACAATGTATTGGCCTATTTCTCACTGTTTCCCGAATTTTCCCTTCAGTTACTCGAGTATCAAGATTATTATTAGCTTTCTTGTTCAGCGTTGACAATGTAATAACCTTTCAGGGGAGGAGCTGAACTCAACAACATGACCCCTGCCAGCTTCTCTTTTAAAATGTACGACTCAGCAGTGGAGAGCACATACGTGGAGAACGCGGCAAAGAACCGACAACCAGGACTCAAAAACATCCATCATCAACGCAGAACAGTGCCTCACATCAGCAACAAGAACGACAAGAACACTTTCTACTAGTACTTCTTCTTCTACCTTAGCCATTGTCTCCTGGAGATGGCAGACTCTGTTAGACTTAGCATACTAATCATTATTTATTATTCATAGCATGAGAACCGGTTGATAGATGTTTGTAGAAAGAGGATTCTGATTGTTATCGTAGAGTATCAACCGGTACGTATAATACATTCTTTTAACTATATATTTACAATGATCAATGATGGATAATTGGAACTTGATATAACTATTTGAGTTTATATTATTGGTGTAGTAAATTCTATTTATTACAGGTTCTGTTTCTATTTCTATAGTACAACCAAACCCAGCGAGTTTCTCTTCTCAACACTCAAGTCTATCGTATCCCGTGAACACACATATTAACAGTGGTAGCAGCTCAGTTAACTTTGTGATACACGACAGAGAAGATCCACCGCATCGAAAAGGAACTCTGAAGGAGTAAGTAGAGAGAAAAGGTAATTGGAAAGTACCGAAATTGTGTAGACTGTTCAGTTATAGAAGAAAGAGACTAATCAAGTAGAAAGTATTGAACTGTTATATAATACGAAGTATTGATTCAAGTGTTGAAAGTAATTAGAATTAAAACTCAGTGTTAGTCAGTGTACAGTTGTTTGTTTTAGTGTACAGTAGTTTTGTGTGTGTAGCGCCGGCGCGGGCGATATAAATTTCCGCCCGCTAGGCTGCGTGGATATATTATATATAATATATATCTACAATATATACTGGATATTTAACATATTATTTTAAAGGTCAGGGAAACTACCAAGTACCAAGGGTGCCCCCAATCCACTTATTCAAAAAGAGGAAAACAGCTCAACTCCATTTCAACTACCTGCTATACATCGGCACCATCCAGGACTCGACTTGTGTAACGAATCCACAGGCAGAAGAGGATATTGTGGTGACTGAAAAAAATCTTGAAAGATATCAAATACATCTATGACTATACGGCAAGGAAAATGGTAGACGATTCAGATTTAAAGAAAAGATCGAAAAACCATATCCTGCAGGGCCATTCCAGTGTTCGAGCAGATGCGGTCGTGGGATTGACTGACTTCATAGACATATAATACATTATGCTCAAAAACGACAGGTACTGCCTGGAGGAGGAGCCTAACACTAGTGAGAATTATTGAATCAAGGCCAATGGAATATGCAAGATAAAATAATATGTTGATAATGTCAATAAACAGACATACACAGTAACACATCCAGGTAACACCAACGGGATTGATATGATAGTTAACCTGGGCATTACGTTAACGGTTCACCAGAAATCAAGGCCGATAAAATAGAAAAACTGACTGATATTGACCATGCAAATAAGCAGATGTTTTTGTAGTCATTACAGTGAATTCATTAACCCGAGTGTCAGGCATGTTATTACTGGGGCCGTTGATATTATCAAGAATTACAAACTTAGAAATCAATCAAGAAAATGTACACTTATATTGAACCGTTTTTACTCTCTCTGCAAATCTTTAAAAAGATGTTCAGAAAGAGTGTCAAATGATCCCAGGATCAGATTTTATTACTTTATTATATTTTGTTATTTTAACGAGAAGAAGATAATACCACCAGAAAGTAGTTCCACGTATTTGATGTGAACTGGTTAAGTAAGTTTCGTTTTTACTCTGTCGGCAAATCTTTAAAAAGATGTACAGAAAGAGTGTAAAATGATAGATACGAGGGTAATCAATATAATTATATTAGTGATATATCATAGTAGTGATCAATGTAAAATTAGTAATTAATGTAATAGTACTAATCAATGTAATAGTAAACAGTCATAATTAAGAGTAAGTCATCTAACAAGTAATTACCACATCTTGCTTTACCCTCAGGTTTGAGCCTCACGGACACACAATTCCACACAACCACGAATCACCCTCCTCAATAGTAATTTTTAATATTAATTATTAATGAAGACGATGACCATGGCAGGGCTCAGAGCCACATGTACGTGTTTCAAATTCTCCTCTTTCTGAAGGCTGTATTTGTTATAGTTAGTACATAACCACAAATATGTTAGCAAAATATGATGTATACACCTGAATATATATTAACCCTAACTTAAACAAGTTCAATGTAATACAAAGTGTGTATTAAAGGAATGGACATTCTTTTATCCATTTTTTTTCTTTTTTACCTTTCTTTTATAACCATCATATATATCTTTCTTCTATCTCTCTTTTATCTTTTTTATCTATCTTTCATATATCTATCATATATCTTTCGTTTTATCTATCTTTTATCTTTTTATCTATCTTTTATCTTTTATATCTATCATACATCTTTTGTTTATTTATCTTTTATCTTTTGTATCTATCTTTTATATCTATCATACATCTTTCGTTTATCTATCTTTTATCTTTTCTATATATCTTTATATTATAGTATGATGTGGTAAGCCAGCTTCAGCTGGGACTGACTGTATTGTAGTTCAGTATTTGAACATTAGGATATTTTGTAGTAAAAGTTTGTGGAAAAACCGTTGGGATTTTTAATGTAAGTTAAGTAGTTATGCGGAGTAAGGGAACAAGGTGGTGAGAGTTCAAGAGGGATAAAAGAACAATTTTGGAACAGGGACCCTGTCAGCCTCCAATATTAAAGAGGTATTACGTAGCGAACAGTAATGGGATAGAAATGGAAAGAAAATGGTAGCGTTTTTTTCTCCCTCCTTAAATCTTGCTTATTATCAAGTGTGTTGGTTATATGGTGGCAAAACCCTCTTATTCTTCAGAGAAGAAGAGACTGAAGGAGGAGACGGAGGGAAGAAGGGAGAGTGACGGAGAGAAGAGTGATAACGAACAGCTGGTGGTCGACGTGTCCAATGAGGTGGGTACTGGCTTGATGCCAACTAAGGGGGGGGGGGGGCCCCGGCCGGGGGGGGGGGGGGGGCGCCGTTGAAAAAGAAGGATGGCCAACAGAAGAAAATCCCTTTCTCATGATCATCGAGAGTGTCACAAAAACTCCAGTTTACAGATTCACCTATAATTGATCATGCTGTAGATAGGCAGAAACAGGAGAAAAAGTGGGACATGATAATGGAGCACTGTAGACACCTTAGGCTACTAGACCCATAATCCACTAACCACTTTATCTTAATTTTGCTTTAGCAGTTAGCTACATTGCTCGTTGCTTCATTGTGCTCGAAACCCACATTTTAATTTTATTTAAACTGCAGCGTACAATAAGACACGTCAATTTTGACATGCGAATGTTTGTTATATATCATTAGGCAGATCACGCAGAAACATCTCTCAGACATGACCTCAGAAGGGGCGTACATCTACGTCGCACCTACCACCCACACGACAAAATCGTATCCAACCGATAACAAACCCTTCAGATATCATTAAGCAATTTCATAAAACTCATGCAGCTGCAGAAGCTGACGATATTGAAAAAATAATAATGAGTGTTTTTGGTACAAATGACATAAAACATTCTAAGTATTGGGTTCAGTTCCTTAGGAGGTATCTTACTGACTTAATTGACATCACTAAGCAGTCATTTCCCGATTATAATTATCCAATGTTGTCTT